GAGAGGAAGCAAGAGGGCCCAAGTTTGCAAAGAGCTGCTTTGTGTTTGGTATTTTGAGAAAATGGCCGAATGCCTATTTCAGTTAGGAATGCCGCCGCCGAGGCCGGCGCTGGTGGCAGCAGCACATAGGAATTCCGTGCAACACGTTGCTACTCTCGGGCTGTGCTTGCACAGCCTTCCCGAGAAACGTGGAGATTCCTTGGAGTGTGGTAGCTGAGGTTCGCCGGGAGCTTTAAAAGTGGATGTGGGGGGTCAGCTGTGGAATCCGTGGGGCTGTTAACCCAGGGAGAGAGCTGTGGCCCGCTGTTTCCTGTGATGGCATTCGAGCCCAACTTTTTGTTGGGGCATGTAACTGAGCGAGCTTGTGTTTAGACGCTTGGTGAAACGGACTGCTTTTTGTATTTTCGGTTTAAGTTTGTCTTTTGGTACTTTCTGCATATCTTGCCTTTACTGATTTGGAAGAGGGACACTGAGTTCGAGACTAGCACCTTTGAGGCAAGAGGTTGAGACCATTTAAAAACTCAACTTGTTTTCAAGAAGGTGATCTGTAATGGCTTCCTCTAGGCAAGTAGGCCAAGTCAAGCACAATGCGCCAAAGTTGCTGGTTGACGTGTTGAGTTGCACGGCTGTTAGGGAGTTTTCAAACAAAAAAACACTTTAAAACTTCCCCTTTTGTGGGAAAAGGGATCTATAACCACCCCTGGTCTACAAGAGTCATCAAAAAAGTTAAAAGTCTGTTACTTTTTCAGTTTATTCTTTTAGAGTTGAGTTCTCAGGAAGAAATTAAATTACAGTCTTCCAGATTTTTTTTTTTTGTGTGTGTGTGTGTGTGTGCTCGTTATATGCATAGAATTGCTTGTGGATTTTGGGGATCTCATTCAGACCACTGAACTGTTGAAAAGGGAGAATCGAGAGAACAATAGTGCTTTTGAATTACAAATAATTTTAGTTAACATTAAAAATGTTAACCACCAGAAGAAGGTTGACACACTTGCATGCCAGTGGTAGACCTAATGGATGAAAGAGTTGCATTTTTTTCCTGGGTGTAGGGGAAATAGTTATTCATTTGTATGCTTTTGTGACTGCAATAAAGATAATTGAAAATTAACAGCAGTGTTGCCCCAGTCTCCCTAGCTAGGATTACAGGCAGACACCACCATACCCAGCAAGAAACCCATTTTAAGTTTGTTAGAAGTTAATGAAGCTCATTGAGTTTTAGAGGTTGGGAAAATTCTTGCTTTAGGGCTGGATTTAAATGTTTGTTTTTTTTTTTTTGTTATACTTTATTCAGTGTGCAGTTATGGCCACCCAGGTGATGGGGCAGTCTTCTGGAGGAGGAAGTCTATTCAGCAACAGTGGCAGCATGGGCATGGCCTTACCCAACGACATGTATGACTTACATGACCTCTCCAAAGCTGAACTGGCTGCACCTCAGCTCATTATGTTAGCAAATGTGGCCTTGACTGGGGAAGTCAATGGCAGCTGCTGTGATTACCTGGTGGGTGAAGAAAGACAGATGGCAGAGTTGATGCCTGTTGGGGATAACTTCTCAGATAGTGAAGGGGAAGGACTTGAAGAATCTGCTGAACTAAAAGGTGACCCCAGTGGGCTGGTAAACATGGAACTGAGAAGTTTGGAGCTAAATGCTGTGGAACCACAGCCTGTATTTGAAACATCAGCTGCACCAGAAATGTACAACTCCAATAAGGATCTCCCTCCCGAAACGATCGGGACAGAGGACAAGTGCAAGAATTTGAAGGCCAAGCCATTTCGCTGTAAGCCGTGCCAGTATGAAGCCGAATCCGAAGAGCAGTTTGTACATCACATCAGGGTTCACAGTGCAAAAAAGTTTTTTGTGGAAGAGAGTGCAGAGAAACAGGCCAAAGCCAGAGAATCTGGCTCCTCCACGGCCGAGGAGGGGGACTTCTCTAAGGGTCCCATTCGATGTGACCGCTGTGGCTATAATACCAACCGGTATGATCACTACACGGCTCACCTAAAGCACCACACCAGGGCCGGGGATAATGAGCGAGTCTACAAGTGTATCATCTGCACGTACACAACAGTTAGCGAGTATCACTGGAGGAAACACCTGAGAAACCATTTCCCCAGAAAAGTCTACACATGTAGCAAGTGCAACTATTTTTCAGACAGGAAAAATAATTATGTCCAACATGTTCGAACTCATACAGGTAAGAGAACCTAAATTCCATTTCCAAAATGTGATTTCTTTTAAGCTTATAGATTATGTAAACTGAATGAGCACCTAAGATACATTATAGTTTTCCAGGGGAATTGAGGAATTAGGTAGATCAGAAAGCCTACTGATTAACCTTGCATAGCTTGTTGAACCAAACTTTCAAACCTTATACCTCATTCCCTTTTCTTCAGGGGGAGGTTTGTCTTTTTGAAACAGACTATAGTTCTGGCTGTGGTTCATGGTTCTCTACCTCCACATTGCTAGGATTAAAGGCATTCACCACTACACCCAGTCCCACCCCTTCCATATCAAACAGGATCTGCAGTAGTCCAAACTGGCCTTGAACACACTAATCTGTAGCTGAGGGTATTTCTGATGTCTCCACCCTCCAAGCAGTTGGATTACAGATACATGTCACTATGGTTGGTTTATGAAGTGGGGGATGGAGCACAGGGACTTGTGTATGTCAGACAAGCATTCTCTCTACTAAGCCATATATTGCTTCTTCCTTTTCTTGTTTTATTTATGTATATGAGTAGTTTGCATGTAAATGCACTACATATGTGCAGTACCTGTGGAGGCCAGAAGAGGGCATGGGATTTCCTGGAACTGGAGTAAAAGAGAGATGCATAAAACTGAACCTTGGGTCTTTTTTTTTTTTTTTTTAACATTTTATTTATTTAATTATGTATACAATGTTCTGCCTGCATGTATGCCTGCAGGCTGGAAGAAGGCACCAGATCTCACAGATGGTTGTGAGCCACTATGTGGTTGCTGGGAATTGAACTCAGGATCTCTGGAAGAGCAGTCAGGGCTCTTTTTTTTTTGTTTTTTAAAGATTTTATTTATTATGTATACAATATTCTGCTTCCATGTATATCTGCACACCAGAAGAGGGCACCAGATCTCATAACGGTTGGCCAGGTGGCACACGCCTTTAATCCCAACACTCTTGGAGGCAGAGGCTGGCGGATCGCTGCGAGTTTGAGGCCAGCCTGATCTCCAGAGCGAGTGCCAGGATAGGCTCCAAAGCTACACAGAGAAACCCTGTCTTGAAATCCCCCACCCCCCCCAAAAAAAAGAGGGCTTAAAATAGAAATACAGATTGTCAGCTCAGGGAGGCAGAGGCAGGCAGATCTCCATGAGCCAGCCTGGTCTACAGAGCTAGTTCTAGGACAGCCACAGCTACACAGAGAAACTATGTCTCGAAAAAAGAAATGAAGAAAAAAAAAAAAAAACATGTCCCAGAAAATTTAGCCTCAGGGTTATTTGCTCTAAATGTATGAAAGCATTCCAGAGCCACTCTGTCCATGTTAGTCTGTCCACCTTTTCAAACAGGACTTCAGCTTAATTTAAGAGTAATTTTAACTTGAACCATGCCACTGTTGGAGGAAATTGACCTTCAAACTTTGAGAAGGAGAGATTCTTGTTTATTTTCCAGCCTCCCCTTAGAGGGGGGTAAAGATGCCAACAAGGCTCCCTAGATCATTCTAGGTGTGTGCATGCTTAGAGATACAGTAGATGGATTCATCAAAGAACAGGAATAAATGAGAAGGCCTCAGTGGCTGAGCCTGCTTTGGGTTTGTTTTTTGTTTTTTTGTTTGTTTGTTTATTTTGGGGGCAGATCTCTGAAGCCCAGGCTAGAGTGATGTTGCTGTTACTACAGTACCTCTAAGACAGTCCAGGGAAGAAATTGTAGCCGGTGTGATGAGACACTCCTTTAATGTCAGCATTTGGGAGACAGGCAGGAGGATTTTTCTTTCAGGGCCAGCCTGGTTCACATGGTGAATTCTACGAATTTCAAATTCTGCTGGGTTTGTGATAAAGAATGAACAAGGCCCAGGGTTAGACTCTAATCCCTCCTCCCAAATAAAAACAAAGAAAAATCCAAGCCCAGACAAAAAAGGCAGAAAACTGCCTAGCCCATACCTGTAGGACAACACTGGGAAGTGGAGAGATCAGGAGGAGCTGAAGGTCATTCTGTGCTGTTAGGGGTAGCCCTGGGCTACTCAAGCCTGTTCTCAAAAACTTATCAGTATGGCAGTCTCTTCCTGTTTTCCCTTTGTCCCTTAGTTATCTGCCTCATTTTGTGGTAGTAGGGAGTGGACCAAAGTCAGCTGGGAAAAGCTTATCATAGAGGTGGCAGTTGTATGTATAACCTTGGCTGGCCCAACTCCCCAGGTGTCTCAGGCTGTCCCCAACTCCAAGCCATCCTTTCCCCCTTTGGATCCTGAGTGCATAGATAACAGGCCTGTGCCATCATGCCCAGACTTGTTTTGTGATACACAAGTTATAAGTAGTAGTTGGGCCTGCCTTGAGTTCTGGCAGTCCTGCTTCAGGTTTGCAAGTCCAGGAAGAAAGGTGTAAGCTACAACACTCTGGCCAGTCTTGAACTCACTGTCCTGCCTTCTAATGATCAAAACAAACAAATGTACATACTGATAGGATGGCTATATTATCTTTATTTGAATTATATCTTGGCTAAACATTTGACAGTGTAGAGCATAGAGCATCTTCAGCAGTTTTCAGAACTGATTAATTTTTATAAGAACCAACCAACACTGAGAATGTTATTTTGCATATACTTAGGGCAAGTGTATACTTAGGGCAAAATGGCAGGAGTGTGCTGTGAGGGCTTTTGATCCCTGAAAAATTTTTTTTTTTTTTTTTTTTTTTTTTTTTTTTTTGTGAAGCTCAAGTCTGTGGTTGTGCATGGTGTTGCAGACCTTGAATCCTGGCTAGTTCCAGGACACATGGGGCTACACACAGAAACCCTGTAGGGGGATGGGAGTTGGGGCAACCGGGGACAAAACAAAACCAAGTCTGCAGTTCTTATTTTATTCTGTTGGTGTTTTGCCTGTATGTATGTCTGTGTGAGGATGTTGGGTCCTGGAATTTCAGGCAGTTGTGAGCTGCCATGTGGGTGCTAGGAATTGAACCCCAGTCCTCTGAGCCATCTCCAGCCCCATCGAGTCTGCAATTCTAAGAGTAAACATTCTTTTTTTGTTGTTGTTGTTGTTTTTTTCAAGACAGGGTTTCTGTGTAGCTTTGGAGCCTATTCTGGCACTTGCTCTGGAGACCAGGGTGGCCTCGAACTCAGAGATCCACCTGCCTCTGCCTCCTGAGTGCTGGGATTAAAGGCGTGCACCACCAACGCCAGGCTAAGAGTAAACATTGTTATCCAATCCAAGATACATTAATTTGATACATATATGCTGTCAGAAAATACTAAAAGGTTGTGGATTCTGTAGTGTGACCATTATGTTTCCATAAGACTAGAAACTTTATGTATAGTAGTGAAAACACTGCGGTTCCTATGAGTGTTTGCTGTGTGAGCCAGGGTGTTTGAGGCAGGGTTACCGAATGCTGCACACACACACAGACTTTGTGCTTTGTGCTTTGAGAATCGGGCCTGGAAAGTACTGCCAGAGATAAGTCAGATTGCATGTCATTATTATGTAGTTCTGACTGTCCTGGAGCTATTTAAATCAGGTTGTCCTGGAAGTCAGAGCTTTACCTGCCTCTGCCTCCCAGTGCTGGCATTCAAAGGCCTGTGCCACCACATCTAGGTTTGAAGCCAGCCTGTTTTTTTTTTGTTTTTTGATTTTTGTTTTTTTTTTGAGACAGGATTTTCTTGTGTAGCCCCTGGCTGTCTTGGAACTCCATAGACTGGCCAGGAACTCAGATCCACCTGTCTCTGCCTCCCTAGAGTTGTGATTAAAAGGCCTGTGCTATCACGCTCAGTTGGAGCCAACCTGGCTGAGTTCCCTCTCAGGCCAGCCAGGCCTAAATATTAAGACCTTATCTAAAAAAGACACATCAGTTTGGTGACTCCTAGCACTTGGAGACAGGCAGGTAGAGAGCTGTAAGTTTGAGGCCATATATATTATTGTTGCCAGTTAATTTGAAACAGTTTATGAAGGGAGAGCTGCTTGCATATTAGCCCATATTAGCAGTGTGTTTTGTATACTTATATGTGTGTACATATACACATAACGTTATTTCTAGGTTAGCCATGGGACATGGTCTCAAACAAAAATGGTATAGAGAGCTGGGCTGTGTTGGAGTGAGTTCCAAGACATGCTCCAAAGGTACACAGAGAAAAAGATTTTGGATACCTCTTGAAAACAGCATTTTAGCTGTCCTCCGCACCCCCTTCCTTTTTGAGAAGGAACTCTATAACTCAAATTGGCTTCAAACTCATCCCTTGCCTCTTGCCTCAGTAGTACTGGGATTAAAAACTGGAAACCAGACATGCCTGGCTTTTTTTTTTTAAACATTGAGAATTATTTTTTGTTTTTTATTTTTAACTTTGAAAAATTGTTTTTATACGTATGAGTGTTTGGTTTACATATGTGTGTGCCATATGCATGTCTGCTGCCTGAGGATGTCAAAAGAGGGCCCCAGCTGGAACTGCAAGTCATGGTTGGATGAGCTACCATATGGGTACCGGGGACTGAACTGGAACTTTGCAAGAGCAGCAGTTGCTCTTAATGTTGGACCAGGTGTTTGCTTTTTTTTTGACTATCCCGCAGGTCATGCTGCCCAGTAACTGTTAGCTGACACTGTCTCCAACTCTTCCTACCTCCACCTTCCATGTGGGAGGGAGGGGTGTACTCAGGGTGCTGTGGGAGGATTGAGTGTTCTGGCTAGCCTGGACTACCTAGGAGAGCCTGATTCAAAATCCAAAATAAACAAAACCCTGACAGAACAACCCAAAACTCCCCTGAAATACCCAAAATGTGTGGGAGGGAATAGTTACACTGCTGAGAATTGTTTTTGGTTTATTGTTACATCGTGAACACTGTCATTGTAATTTTGCAGGAGAACGCCCTTATAAATGTGAACTTTGTCCTTACTCAAGTTCCCAGAAGACTCACCTAACTCGACACATGCGCACTCATTCAGGTTGGTAAGAAATGGTAACTTCCACCATTTCAGTAAATAACACTTTTATTTATTTCACTGTTGTTAACTTCTTTATAAAGAATGTCTTTTAGAACTGAAACTGAAACAATGCTTCTGGAAGTCTTTAAAAAATTTTTTTCCTTAGACTGTTGCTGGCCTGGAACTCACAGAGATCCACCTGCCTCTGCCTCAGAAGTGTTAGGATTCATCATGCTAGGTGAATCACCATGCTAGGCAGATCTGCCTTGAAAAAGCAAAACCAAAATGGGAGTAGGGAGGGTTAGTATGGGTTCTCATAGATGAGATCCCAGAAACTGAATGCATGTGAATTTGTTTGCAAATTTTTCTGGGGGAGTTTCCTTTTTCTTTCTGAAGTTTTATTAATAGTATATGAGTATTTTGCCTGGAAGTGCACTATGTGGGTGCAGTTTCTGTGCAGGCCAAGAGAGGATGTCATCCTCTGTAACTTGTGTTGTAAATGTTTAGGAGCTAGCACATATCGGTGCTGGGAACTAAACATGGGTTCTCTATAAGGGCAGAAATTGTTCTTAACTGCTGAGCCGTATCTCCAGCCAAAGACAAGGGCTCTTAGTATTTGTTAGAACTCAGTCAGTTCTAAAACTCCATAAAAATTATTCACAGACCACAGGTGAGTTTATCCCCCTCCTTTTTTTTTTTTTTTTTATGGATTGTGTGATAGAATGATTATCTGGTCTACATAGCAAGTTCCAGACCAGCCAGCCATGGTTCCATAGTAACACTCTGTCTCAAAAGAACCAAAATATTATAGAGCTGGGCATGGTCATGCTCTGTAATCTGCACTGAGGCAGCTTAACCCTAGTCACTTTTATTAGTTTGTATTTTGCTTGTATGTGGATGCATACAGTGGTTAAGAGTGGGTGCTGGATCCCTTGGAGCTGGAGTGTACATGTGTTCATGAGCTTTCTAACCTAATATGGATGCTAGGATCTGAACTATGATAGAGCCTTCAGCTCACGTTTTACCTATGTTTTAACTTAGTAATGTGCCTTAGAAAGCTTGTATACTTGGTTGTATTATAGATTCTGACTCGATTTGACTATTGTGTATTTAAAGTGCTGGACTCTGCTAAGCTTTAGCTTAAGCACTGAGCTTCATACCAGGCTCTCAGTGTCTTGTCAGGCTTCCTTTGGCTGATCTTGGCTCTCTCACTATGCTCATGTGGATTAGGCTAGCCTAGAGGACTAGCCTAGGGGTCACAGCTCCTGCTCTGCCTCCTAAGAGCTAGGACTAAAGGCCTGCTCTGCCATGCCCAGCCTTACCAGGCTTTTCCTACATGCTTACTTTGTTGATGTACTTTGAGTGTCTTCCTAAGCTATCTGTCTTCCCCACCCTTTCATTGACTGGGCAGTGTTCAGTGTTTTCTGTGGTGTCTTACCCTAGTTGATAATCTCTTGTTTTTTATATAGATTTGTTAAATGTTGCCTGGAGTTTGGCTTACTGTGCTTTATTTATTTGGTTTTTCGAGACAGGATTGAGTCTGTAGCTTTGGACGCTGTCCTGGAACTCTGTAGACTAGGCTGGCATCAAACTTAGAGATCTTCCTGCCTCTGTCTCCCGAGTGCTGGTTTACAGTGTTTTAAAGGTATTATAGTTATCAGTAATTGTTATAACTGTGGTAAGTATTTTTAATACTATTGGTTATTGTATGCATACAGGTTACTGAAAATTATAAACTAGGTGGTGGTTCTCCCTTTTAATCCCAGCACTCAGGAGGCAGAGACATCTGGATCTCTGTGCCAGCCTGGTCTACAGAGTGAGTTCAGAACAGGTTCCACAGAGAACCTTGTCTCTTAAAAAAAAAGGAGACGGGCTGGAGAGATGGCTCAGAGGTTAAGAGCACTGACTGCTCTTTCAGGGGTCCTGAGTTCAATTCCCAGCAACCACATGGTGGCTCACAACCATCTGTAATGAGATCTGGTGCCTCTTCAGGCCTGCAGGCATACATGCAGACAGACCACGGCACATAATAAATAAATAAACAAATAAATAAATAAATAAATAAATAAATCTTTAAATAAATAAACAAACAAACAAACAAACAAACAAATAAATAAATAAATAAATCTTTAAAAAAAAAGGAGAGACAAAGAAAGAAAATTATAATCTCATTAATGTTGTTAATGCAAAGACACCAGTCTTAGTTTACAGATGACAGGTGTTTAGGGAGGATCAAAAAGGATAAGAGTCTCAAATGAGAAGTTAGGGTTTAATTCCCAACTTTCCCAACCTCTTACTTTATCAACCATAGTATCTAAAGACAATTATAGTTGATGGGGCTGTGCATGTAGCTCAGTTGGTACTCAGGTGTGGGTTCTTCCATTCCCAATTGTCCTAAAACTGTTATTCCAGGGCTGAGAAGCAGAAGCAGGAAGGTTAGAAGTTCAAGGCCATTTTCAGCTGCATAGTGAGCTGGAGGCCAGCCTGGGTTATATAAGAGCCTGCCTCAAAATTAAGGGAGTGGGGCTGTGTGGTGGCTCACGTAAAAGTGGTGTCCCAGGAGTCTGCTTCTGTAGAATGTATACGTTCTACCACTCAATACATATGTATATATAGCATTCACAGTAATACAGCTTTTTTTTTTTTTTTTAAATTCCATTTTTTTTTTCCCCCCCAAGGGTTTTTCTGTGTAGTCCTGGCGGTCCTGGAACTAGCTCTCTGTAGACCAGGCTGGCCTTGAACTTGCAGAGATCCACCTTCCTCTTCCTGAGTGCTGGGATAAAAGGCATGTGCTACCAATGCCCAGCTTCTTTTTTTTTTTTTTTTCCCAAATTCTGTGAGTGGGAACATACATTGTGGTACTTTGGGAGCTTATATAGGTAGCTTTTTATGTTTTGCTGGGGAGAAGGGTAAGACTGCCACACGTTTTCATTCAAGTCCCCGCTTTTTTGTCTATGATCTATGCCTATGTAGTGAGTTCAAAGCTAGCCTGGGAAACATGAGGCCCTGTCTCAGGCTATCAGAGATGGCTTAGCTAGTAAAGGCTCCTGCTACAAGACTTGATGGCCTGGATGGGAATTGATTTCTTTTCAATTACAGTTTATTTTTGTGTGTGCATGTGCGTGGGGTACATAGGCCATATCAGTCATGCATGTGGGTCAGAGAAAAATTACAGTTGGTTCTTCCACCATGTGGGTTCTGAGGATCTGTCTCAGGCATAACTCCCTATCCTGTTATCCCTCTTTTCAAGTTCCCTCTTTCCAAGGCCCCTCTCCTCTTGAGCCTATCGAGTTTAATTAGGATTGCTTTAGTAAGCATGGCTAAGAAGTTATTTACTTGAATAAGGGCATCTTAGCTGGGCTGTACTACTGGGGGATGTGACTTGACATCCCTAGCCACCCATTAACTAAATACTGTGCCCCCGCCTCCATCCATCTGGAATGTTGATGAGTTTTATCTTAGATGTTCAAGTAGTCAAAGCTAAAATAAGTTTATAAATATAGTTGTCTGCCAAGTGTTGGTGGCGCATGGCTTTAATCCCAGTATTTGGGAGGCAGAGGCAGGCAGAGTTCAAGGCCAGCCTGGTCTACAGAGTGAGTGCCAGGATAGGCTCTAAAGCTACACGGAGAAACCCTATCTCAAAAAACCAAAAAAAAAAAAAAAAAAAAAAAAAAAAAAAAAAAAAATCAGACTTGAGAGAAAGTTACTTTCAAGAATATAGGTCGGGTGAACTTGAGGTTTTTTTGTTTTTGTTTTTGTTTTTTGTTTTGTTTTGTTTTGTCCTTCTGGGCCCAGATGTTTCTGCTGTACAGCCTCTATCCTCTGGCTCTTAGATTCTGTCTTTTCCCTCTTCTGTGATATTCCCTGAGCTTTGGATAGTGTAACTTAGATGTCTCACTTAGGCCATAAGTCTCTGAACTAACCTCCTTAGGTAGCAGTAAGGATCTTCTTTAATTCTGCATATAGATAGACACGGACATTTAGAAAGCAATTTGATAACGACTGTTGTAAAACAGAAGTAGTAAGTTCACACCTAGGGCCTGTGACCACCCGACCACCCCAGATACTGCTCTTGATCAGAGTTATAGCACCAATTTTTTGTTGTTGTTTGAGACAGCATTTCTTTGTGTAGTCCTGGCCATCCTGGAACTGCAGCACCAGTTTTTAAGATCACAGTAATTATTATAATGAATTAATTTACTGTGTATGTGTAGACATATGTTCAAGACTTGTGTGTGGAGACCACACAAGGACAGCTTGTGAGAGCGGCATCTCTGCTTTCCATGTGGGTCTTTTCACCAGGCTACTTAGGCTTGGTTAGAAGTACCTTAGCCTAGGGGCCATCTTGCTCTGTGTGTGTGTGTGTGTGTGTGTACATATATAAATTTTTTTAAGAACTGTGTTATTTAATGAGTGTTGGGTTTATATGTGTGCCACCATGCCCATTTTATGTGGAATTGAATCTAGGGGTTTGTGTTTTGTTTGGGGACATGGTCTCATATAGCTCTTTCCAAGTTAAAATTTAAGAATTTCAGTCAGGTATGGTTGTGGTTACCTGTAATCCCTGCTACTGAAGAGGCTGAGGCAAAAGGACCACTATATTTGAGGCCATTATGGGCAACTTAGCAAGAGCCTATCTCAAAATGTGAAGGGGAAAAAAAAAATTAAGCCTAAGAATGTAAGTCAGTGGGAAAGCACTTGGCTGGCAGGCCCAGGGCCCAGGCCTTGACCCCAGTCTGCAAAAGGTGTGGAGTGGTTTCTACACATCTGCTCCTCTACACTTGGCCCTACAGTGTCACTGCAATTACTGCTCTAAATAAGAGAAAGAAGTCCTAGGTCACCTGCAGCTACATGAGACCATGCTATATGAAAGAGGCCAGCCTATGAGCTATATGAGACCATGTCCTACATACCTAATTTGCCATTTACCTGCATACCTAATTTGATATTCCTGGGTAGGTTTTAGGGAAGATTTAGGATTCTGTCAACAAACTTTTTTTTTTTTTTTGCGGGGTCCGAGACAGGGTTTCTCTATATTGCTTTGGAGCCTATCCTGGAACTCACTCTGTAGACCAGGCTGGCCTTGAACTCAGATCTGCCAGCCCCTGCCTCCCAGGTGCTGGGATTAAAGGTGTGTGCTACCAGTGCCCGGCTAACAGACATTTCTAATGATGTAATCTTTACTAGTGTCATAGTTAAGCTTCATGTCTAATTTTGCTTATGGAAAACTTGGATGTTTGAAAAATTAATTTTCATAAATATTAATTTCCATTTCTCTACTATGCATTCCATTGGACCGGTGGGGTATGGATACCAATTGGTAATATTTACTAGAGTGTGATCTAGTTGGGTATGTATTCAGGTAGAATGTTTTTTGCTTTTAATTTTGGGGTGGGTGGGCTCTGTGATATGACTGTCTATGTTATTTATATACCATATCTATTTGTATGCCAGCCCTCATTTAGCTAGTTTCTTTGCCCCTTTTATAGAGAAGTTGAGATAGGAAAAAAAAATCACTATGTTTTCTAGTTGACTTCAGCCTTATTTTTTGCTTTAAAACAGTTATTCTGGTATTAGAAAAACTTGCTTAGTGTGGCTGTACTCTAAGGTTAAATTTACTCCGTTAGGCCAAAGAAGAGCTTAGGCACACAAGTCTGGGACTGTAGCCCAAAGTTAATGATTCCACTCCAGGTTTATCTTACAAATGGATGTTCTATATTGTATTACTTTATATTTTAGCTTAAAAGAATTCTGGAGGATGAGGAGCAGAAAATTAAGCATTTTTCTCTTGGAGAAAGTGGCTTTGTCCCAGAGCTGGCATTCAGAGGCTTGCCACCTGTGCCAGCAGGTCTGGGCTTCTGGGCGGAAGAGATAACTTGATAAACTTCCAGTTTATGTTGAGAATCAAGCCTCCATCACAGTTAGAGAAAAGTTATACAAATAAATATGGAAAATAGAAGCTGCATGATAAAGTCTTTCCAGTAAATGGTCTTTGTGGTTATTTTACATGTACAACTCCTAAAGATATTTTAGTGTTGGATTTGTGTCTTTCATCTCTGGTAACATCTCTTCTCTGCCTTTAGGTGAGAAGCCATTTAAATGTGATCAGTGCAGTTATGTGGCTTCAAATCAGCACGAAGTGACCCGGCATGCAAGACAGGTTCACAATGGGCCTAAACCTCTTAATTGCCCTCACTGTGACTACAAAACAGCAGATAGAAGCAACTTCAAAAAGCATGTTGAACTGCATGTTAACCCAAGGCAGTTCAACTGCCCTGTGTGTGACTATGCAGCTTCCAAGAAGTGTAATCTACAGTATCATTTTAAATCTAAGCATCCTACGAGCCTTAATAAAACGATGGATGTCTCAAAAGTGAAACTAAAGAAAACCAAAAAGAGGGAGGCTGCTGACTTGCATAGTAATGTCACCAATGAAAAAACAGAGACAGAACAAGCAAAAACAAAGGGGGATATGTCTGGAAAGAAAAACGAGAAATCCCTAAAAGTAGAGAAAAAAGATGTTTCAAAAGAGAGGAAATCTCCTGGCAATGTCTCAGTGGTCCAGGTAACTACCAGAACTCGGAAATCAGCGACGGAGACTAAAGCAGCAGAGATGAAACACATAGCTGTACATACAGGAAATAATTCAGAAAAATTCAGTAAAGCCAAGAAAAACAAAAGAAAGATGGATTCTGAAGCCCATTCCTCAGGTGATCCCGTGAATGAGGAACCAGTGACAAAAAAGAAAAAAAAGGTAGAAAGCAAATCCAAAAATAGTACCGAGGTGCCAAAGGGTGACAGCAGGATGGAGGAGATTAAGGGGGACACGAAAAAGCAAAACACTTCCATTAAAAAAGGTGCAAAGAAGAAAACTCCAAAAAGTAAATCAAGTAAGAAAGTCAGCAGACCGGCTCAGGAGACTCAGACAGAGCCTTCTTCTACAGAGCGGGTGCACGGGGAGGGCCCTCCAGTTCCTGTGCTCAGTCAGCTGGTGGGCACTCTGGCAGGCTCCACGCAGACAGGGCTTCCTTCTCCCATGGATGTTGCTCAGACAGGGCCTAGTCAGATGGAGGTTTCCCAGACAGGGGGTCCTCTGGGCGAGCTGCCTCTTCCCATGGAGCTTACCCAGGTAGAACTGCCTCTTCCCATGGATCCTCCCCAGGTGGAGCCTCCTCTCGTGGATCCTCCTCAGGTGGAGCTGCCTCCTCCCATGGAGCCTCCTCAGGTGGAGCTGCCTCCTCCCATGGAGCCTCCGCAGGTGGAGCTGCCTCCTCCCATGGAGCCTCCGCAGGTGGAGCTGCCGCCTCCCATGGAGCCTCCGCAGGTGGAACATTGTCAGAAAGAGCTGTCTTCTCCTTTGGACTATGCTCAGATGGAGGTTGCTCAGACAGAGCCTCCTCACATGGGATGTGTTCAGAAAGAGCCTCCTGAGGTTGTGGAGCCACCTCAAGTCAAACCGATTACCAAAAGGTCATCTCCCCGGAAAGATGGGAGAAGTTCAAAGGAGAGGTTGAACATGCGGAGTGAGATGGTGCGGCAGGAGCAAGTTCTTATTGAAGTTGGCCTAGTGCCTGTTAGAGATAGCCATCTTCTAAAGGAAAGCAAGAGTGCACAGGGTCTTCCAGCCCCGTCATCACCACTGCCAAAGGGAAACTCAAGGAGAGAAGAGATGCCCATGGACCAAAAGATTGTCTCTGATGCAGTAGGAAATAAAACAGGCCCTCTTAAGAAAGTAGAAACAGAGGAAGCCAGTGAGAGTCTAGCTGAGCTTGCTGCTCCCAAGGAATCTGCTAGTGTCTTATCTTTAGAACAGAACTCAAGTGTGCCAGATGGTGAAACATTACGTGCTAAGTGTGAGACTGGTTCAACTGGGGTTTGTGAAATGGAAGTGGACCCTGAGCAGAAAACAGCAGACAGTGTCCCTGTGAAAGACTCAACAGGTGAACCAGTGTCACCACCGCCTCTTATCCCTTCAGTTGAACGTGAAGCAGCTTCACCAGCTGTCACTTTGGCTCAAAACGAGTCTCAGGAAATTGATGAAGATGAAGGCATCCATAGCCATGATGGAAGTGACCTGAGTGATAATATGTCTGAGGGTAGTGATGATTCTGGTCTGCATGGGGCCCGGCCGGTGTCACAAGAAGGTAGTTCAAAAAATGGAAAGGAAGGCTTGGCAGTTAAAGTAACCGAGGGAGATTTTACTTGTATTTTCTGTGATCGATCTTTTAGAAAGGAGACAGATTACAGCAAACACCTCCATCGACATTTGGTTAATGTGTACTTCCTTGAAAAAGCAGCAGAGGGGCAGGAGTAGTACCAAGGCGGAAGTGAGTTCATAGTTTCCAAACATGTCTCTACTTTTAGTTTGTTAGAAATGCAAGCTTGCTTTAGTGTCAAGTGCTGATTTTTAAGTGACATTCTTTTTCTTAGGACTATATGGCTTATCTAGTGACTCTTGCATAAATCTTAGCGAATCCTAGGGAGTTAATGTTAAGAAAACAGGTATTTAAATGTTAGTTTGCAGTCAGGTGAAAAGAAAAAGGCAAGATAGTAGAACACGCTCTCTACCTACAACCTTACCAGTTTTTTTCTGTCCTTTTTACTTTAGTTTCTACTTTTAGTTTCTAGTTTAGACTGATAAAAATTGGCGTAGCAAATTACTTGAAGAATTTGCCTGCTTTATATAAGTAAAGTTAGCACTTTAAAGTTTCTTTAGAGTTGAGAAAAGACATTTAAATTGAAGAAAAATTCTTTTCAACAGTGGACATTCTATCTGTCCAGGTCATTGCTTGACTTATGGTCAATACTTTGTGTTTGTATGTTAATCATTATAAAAAGTGATTTTTGGTGTTTTTTATTTTGGTGCTTTACTGGCTTAAGATGTTGCACATGGTTCTTGTTTTTGTTTTTTAACCTATGCAGTTAATTTTCCCTCCTAGATATAGCGTTGTGTTTAATAGTAACACTTTATACATATGCATGTTTTTTTTTTTCTTTTGGGAGGGTGCTTTTTTTAGGCTTGTTTGCAAAAGCGCCATTTTCCTTTTCTTTGCTGCAATTGTCTTTCTTTGCAGAACAATAGTGTGCAAATTTATGAGCAATGGAACATGCAGGTTCAATCCATTGTTTATTTTTTTACTTTAATTTTCACCTTTATCTATGCCAGAATCAGTTTCATATAAGTTATTTTGAATGGTGAGCATATGTGTAATTCCACAGCTCTCCAGTCTGATTTGTAGAGTAAGCCATTAGGTCCCATATTGAACAAAATTTAATCTCAAATATCAGCCATTAGAATTTTTTTATTTTGCTGTTTCTAGCTTATTTCTTACAGAGTAATAAATCATTCTTTGAAGAGTTTATTTTTTCAATAGATGTTGGCATTGGGATGGCTACTCAACCGAATAAAGAATTCCAAGTGATTCTTGGAAACAGCAAACCTGAAGCCAAGCATAATTATCCTTCCTAGAATATCACTTGTGAGAAAGCCATCATGGCCTTGTGGCTAATCTAGAATGGAGTGCTGAGTTCTGGTAAATAGCTGCATCTTCCTTCCAGTGAGTACCTGAATAGGGCTGATGTTAATTAAGTACAGTCCAGATTTGAAGAATCATACTTTCTCAGGGATCTCCACAAACTAGTGGGTGTCCTCGATGCCCTGTGAGACAACCTATGTAGAGGAGAGGCTGCAATTAAATCGTAGCTATCCTGGTGTCCCTTTGGGGACACTGGTATGGGAAACTGCATGCTCCAGAACTCGTTCTGTGTTCTTTGGCCCATGCCAGAGTGTGACATAGTACAACATGGGATTTTTCTTACTGGTAGTAGTAAACAAAGTATGGTCCCAATCGGGAATTGTAACATTTTGATGGTCATGTTCTGTTTTGAAATAACCTGTATTTCATTTATTTTCTTTTACCTGGCGATCTCTGAACAGGCTTCAGATTTTGACAGTTCATGAAAGATGCAACAAGCATTAATGTATGGGTGAAAAGCATGGTGAAATTCTGAGTGAAGTTTTAGTTAAAGTTGGTTGAACTTGGGCTTGACTGGGAGGCCAAAGATATAAAAAGCAGAAGATTCTCTCAAGACACAAGTTGTGTGATAATAGTGTGTTTTGTATGTGTGAATGAGAATTTATAAATGTTGAATTCTAGGCTCCGACAATCATTGCCAGTGCAGATCAAGCTGCAAGTATTTATGTTTTAAAACTTAAATTATAAAGCTAGTTAGGTCTTTCTAACAACTAGTTTTAATGTTCATGAGCACATTTTACCTACATTACCTTTTCAAGATGTTGTAAAAGATACATCCCAAGCACAGGTTGGAGGCTTTCATATAGCAGAGGAAAACAATACCTTCTGGGAATTGAACTAAAATTTAATCTACCTTTCTAAGATTGGAAGTCAAAAACAAAACCATAAAGAAAATTAACCTCATTTAATTGATCTTTGAAATTGAGCGGGACTATTGAGGCCTTTCTTCGAGAAAACAAGGACTTGGTTGTCAGGCCTATATTAGGCCTGGACCTTGGTGCCATGTATTTGTACTTACATTGTCTCAACGGAAAGTGTCTTAGTGATTGGAACTTCTAGTACAGTTTGGAGTTCTTCCAATTGAAACTGTGATATTTGCGTGGGATTTTTGAATCTTGTTTTCTAGTCTCTCCTTCCCCACCACCACCCTCAGAGTCGGAGGGAGATTTTTCTCTTGATAAAGGAACAAAAAAAGTGAACATCTTATTTGTAAATTGATAACTAGTAACTAGTGGTAAACTTGAAATGTAGAATTCTTTAAAGCCTAATCCTGGGTAGCCTTAGGAAGATGTATCTTAATTATTTTTGAGCCTGTATTCACCTTGTTTTTTCAAGATATCTTAAGTTATATTTTCTTTTTCAGAGCTGCTTCTTATTTGGGGCTACTTTTTTTTTTTTTTAATTGAGGCGTAATTCATAAAAGGGTACATTGTTTATTGTTTTCATGAGACTTTCTACAGTTGTGGCTGGATGTCTTTCAGTAGTCTTCCAAGGAGGGCCATTTTACTTTAAAGTCACGAGGTCATCGACTGGGACTACTTTGCATATAAGTGCTTATGCAAATTAAAACCCAAGTTGACTTCAAGCAGTTCACTCTATGAATATTGACAATGGAAAGAACACTTTGCCTTTTTGTATATTGTTACTTGTGGACTGAAATGCTGAAGAAACTCCATTTTTTTTTTTTGCAAAAATCAAGGTATATTCTAGGGTTTCCTGGTTGACCTCAACAGATGAAGTGAGTTAATAGTCTTAGTTCAGAAATGATCTGAATGTGTAGATTTACAGTCTACGTGTACGGCTGGCTAAATGAGATAGCTTTTACAGTTCTACATGTATCCCATAGGCTCCCCATTAGTTACTGAACTCTTAAAAACTGGTATTGTAACATTACAACAATGTTTTGCGCCAATTTTATAAACCTTTACAGTGCAATATGTGTTACTTTTCTGAGGCAAACCAAAGGTATATTTCTCAAGGTTCTGCTGCCTTCAGCAGCACTTGATGGAGGATCTTTTATACATTTGTAATAGATAGAAATAAACCAGATTGCAGTTTTTGTTTTTCTGTTTTTTTTTTTTTTTTTTTTTTTTTTTTTTTTTATTGTAAACCATGTACCAAGTTTTTGGTCAAGATTGTGTAGGATAAGTTAAACATAATTGCATTCTATTAACCAATATGAGTGTATTTCTTATGCATATAGTTACATTGAAATAAAGTTCTAAAAAAGCAGTGGGCCTTTGTTTATTATTGGTGTATCAAAGAAGACAAGATCAACTTTTTTTCTGTAACTGCAGGTAAGTTGTACCTTGATTTTCTTTGTTTTTCTGTACTGAGGATCAAACCCCTACAAGCCCTTGCCCTTGTAGGCAAGGGCTCCATCACTGAGCTATGTCTGCAGTGCAGTGTATTTTAAATGTCTCAGGTTGGCTGTGAAGTTGGAAGTGGATAGCAGATGGCATGGATAGCAAGTGGGGTTCTGGTGGTTTTGGAGTTGGAAGTGAACCTGGGGTGTTAGTGTATTACACCTTCACAGTGAGAAAGACAGTAAGGGAAGAGCTCCTCGATGATAGTGCAAACTGGCTGTGGCTCCTGACAGATTACAGTTTATGTTTGAGCTATAACATTTGCAGTTCCAAGCTTGCTTTCATCTGTAGATCTCTTAGGTCCAAGACAATTTGAGCCATTAAACATGTACAGAGTCAGAAACTGGGAGTCTGGTTGTTTTGGATAAATGGGGGAAATTTACAACACATAACGTATTGTGACAGTGAATCTGGAGACAGACCAGGGCTGTTTTTTTCAAGGAGCCCAGGGTCATCCTGCCTGTGGGGCAGAAGTATCTGCTGATTAGACACACAGAGCTTAGTGAGTGGCTTAGTATTCTAAACTGCCCGGCAGAGTCGGGCTCCATTAAAAGAGTGGAGCCTAATGGGGACTTGTAAGCAAGCAGCCAGGTCACCTCCTTTGAACTGCCCCAGAGGCAGTGCTGCTTCAGCTGAATGCTAGCTACTCTTCATAATATTAGTTCATTTCATTTTCTCCTTCACCAGGGATGGCAGTGCAGTGGGTAGCATCAAGGGTGTTAGAGGTTCGGGAGAGACTGAACAATTCAGTTTTACTCAGTGGTTTCTTCCTACACAGTTTAATAGCCTAAAGTGTTCATATCCCTTTCTAGTAGCTGGGCCTGAGATGAGCAGACTTTGGTTGGCCTTTAAGAAAAGGTGTGAACTGGTGCATGCCTTTAGTCCCAACATAGGCAGAGGCAGGTGGATCTCAAGAGTCCAGCCTGGTCTACTGAGTGTTCCAGGTCAGCCAAGGCTGTTGCACAGAGAAGCCTGCCTCAAAAAAACCCACAAAATCCAATAAATCCAATAATACTGTTCTGTTTCTGGGGTTACTTTAATTCTAAGTAAACAACTCTTAAACACAGATGCAAGGTGGTGCATGCCCGTAATCCCAGCAGTTAGGAGGCTGCAGTACAGGCCTGCTGCTGGCTCTCTTTTTTAGTGGTATTTGGATTTTTGCGTTTCCCATTTTTTTGTGTATCTAATTTGATCAGGACTTTGTTAGGATCTCCGCTTCCTTGTGCTCTGTCCGTGGTACTTGGCAAACCCTAGCAATAAGGAAGATAGCCAGCCAGCCAGAAAAGAAAGCACAAGCAATATGTGAAGTTATCTGAGGTGAGACCGGGAGAGGTCTCACTGGTCAACACTCTTTAGGGCTACTTTGCTGAAGATGGGAGGGATCTGCACACTATACCTTTGTATGCCCAGAGTAGAATTGTATGAGATGGCAATTGAAACACCAGTAAGAAATTTTTAAGCTGCAGTAGTGGAATTTCTAAAGGCCTCTGCCACTGAGCAGGACAACCTAAGTTAGACACTTGGAGTCACATGGTAAGAATTGTATGCTGTGAATTGTCCCTGGAGTACCACAGGTGCACTGTGGTGCGTGCACAGCCACTAAGTGGAAAATGGAGGATATTCAGCATCAACCTCTGGCCTTTAGGTATGTGCATTCACATGGATAGACCACGGACACTTAAAGTGAAGGGTTAAGAGCATTTGCTCTTACAGAGGACCCAGGTTCAGCACCTAGTACCCATGTGGTAGCTTATAACTAATTTTAGTTAAAGGTTGTAACATGAATAACAAACTCAGACACTGATACCGGGGGTTCAAGCTGAAGATCAAAAGCAAAATGGCCAAACCATTTTTTTTTTTTTACCCCCAGTTCACTGTACCAACCTGAAATGGCAATCTCGTCTCCACAAATCCTTATAGGCAAAAGCTCCCGAGTTCCTGTCTCCTCCTGCCTTTATATCCCATTCTCAGCCCAGCTATCATTCCTGTCTCCACCTCCCTAGTGCTGGGATCGAAGGTGTGAGCTCTGTTATTCTTCACTTTTGTGTAGGCTAGGGTGGCCTTGCACTCAGATCCATCTGCCTCTCTCCCAAGTCCTGGGATTTAAATGTGTGTGCCAACACTGGCTGGCTCTATGGCTTGCTAGAATGGCTGCTGGGATTAAAGGTGCGTATTACCATTGCCTGACCTCTATGGCTTGTGGCCAGCTTTGCTTTCTGAGCTTTCAGGCAAGCTTTAATAAATCATAACACATCACCACAAAAGGGCATTTGACATTCTCTTATGAACTCCCAGACACGTAGCTCACCCACAGGCAAAACATTTTTTTTTTCCCTGAGGCAAGATATCACTATGCAGTTGCCTGCCTTTACCTCCCCAGTGCTAGGATTAAACATGTGCCACCATACCCACCAAAACAAACCTTAAATCTTAAAGGAAACTGCAGGGGCTGGAGATGGAGACCAGGCTCAGCTATTAAGAACACTTGGTATTCTTCCAGAACACCCTCTTAGGTTCTCAGCATCTTAGATGGGTGACTCACATTCAGAACTCCAATATCAAGGGGTCTGCTACTTCTGTCCTGCACTGGTGCTGCATCATACTTGTGACATTCACAGACACACAACTGCTTCTTCACCATGTGTGTTAAAATACCTTAGTTGTCTAGGGCTAGGCAACTGAGTTGGCTTGAAACACAGGCTCCACGACTTTGCTGGGTGATCCAGAAAAATTCTTTTTCCTCAGTTTTTTTTTTTTTTTTTTTCCAGACAGTGTTTCTCTGTGGCTTTGGAGGCTGTCCTGGAACTAGCTCTTGTAGACCAGGCTGGCCTCGAACTCACAGAGATCCACCTGCCTCTGCCTCCCGAGTGCTGTGATTAAAGGTGGGTGCCACAACCGCCGGCGTCACTTTATATTCTTATAAGAATAGCACAGTGAGCCAGGCATTTTTAAGTACTTTACATATGTTCACACTACTTACAAGCCTGTGTAAATTATTACTCCCATTTATAAAGAAACATGGGCCAAGTGGTGGTGGCAGACTAGTAAGTTTATTTGGAGTTTGGTTGTGGTTGTTTTGGAACAATGTCACATGTAACCAGTTCAAGGCTAGTCTGGTCTACATAGTGAATTCCAGGACAGTCAAGGCTACACAGAAACCGTCTTGAAAAACCAAAATGAAAGATAGATGGGGTTGGGGGTGGGGAGGTCCCTTTCCAATGCTGGCTTCTGAGAGCACCAGGCATATTGGTGGTGCACAAATGTACATGCAGGCAAAACTCTATATATACAGTAATAAAGAAAAAAATATATATATAGTGTAAGGAGAGCAGAGAGTTCAGAACCGGAGAGATGGCTTACTGGTTAAGAGCATTCACTGTTCTTCTAGAGGACCTGAGTTCAGTTTTCAGTAGCCGCATGGAAGCCTCCAACTAGTCCATTATACGGGATCCAGTGCCCTCTTCTGGCCTCTTGGTTATGTCTGCATAAATACATGCAGACAAAACACTTCATGCTTGTTATTTATTTTTGTTTTACAAAGTGCAAAGAAGATATATATGGGCTATGATGACTATAGTACCTGTGAACAGTAATTCCAGAAGAGGCCAGTGTAAATGATATTAAACAAGTCTGCTGTGGCTATTTCAGGAGTGAAAACTACCCAAAGAACCAATGTCCCCAATTCATCCCCCATCCACCCATTGCCTGGATACTCCTTCACACGGACTTGCTGAAAATGTAGGCAGGATCTCAGCGTTCTTGCACTTTCCAAATACTGTAATGTGATATATTGTTGATTAAATCCAGCTGTGCTCTCATGGCCTCAGCATGTGGCCAGAGGCACTGACAGTGCAGTCAGTGTCTGATTAAGCATCGTACCTTTGTTGTTCTGAGACAGGCTAGTTTTGAACTTGTAATCCTCCTGCCTTTGTCTCTCAAATGATGGGATAACAAGACACGAGCCCTTATCATGCCTGTGCCTATTGTCCCATCTATCAATGTCACTGACTATAAAGGCCAAATACATTCTGCTGGGCTGACTACTAGAAAGTAAGTCCTAAGTTATTTAGAAAAAGGAAACCTTTGAAACAGGGATTCAAGGAGCGGGTGTTCTGAAGATCATCTGGATATATTTAGGAGTATTAACTGATCTTTGTTGTGAGGGGGGAAAGGTGAGGTGCATACATACACATACCCATAGGATGTTCACATAACCATATCCCTCTCACTCAGGACGTTAATGGGGCTGAACATATGAGAGATGTTTAGAGCAGTAACTGCTGTCTGTTCTGTTCACAGCAGTCTGCAGCAAGTTTCTGATGTTTAAGCATTATGTTTGACAGATAAGAAAACAGTACTGCTGGGAGGACAGCAGCCAAGAGAAAGTGGAAATGGTTCTTGCTGTGACACAGGAGTCAACTGGGAGAGGCGCCATGAGAATTGGTCAGGAGAGCTCACTTCTGCTTGAGCACTGGGTTCCTGCTCAGTTAGTTGAGCTTGAGTTGGCTTGAGTTGGCTCAAGCTCAACATCTTCAGGAAGCCAGCTTCCATCTCCAGTTTCTGAGTAGTGTTTAATCACAGAGGATCACATCTGGCCTCTGCTTCTGTCTGATTGCCACAGGATGCAGGATGTGAGGATGGAGAAGAACACAAATTTTAGATTCTGGGAGACTACACATTAAAAGTCCTGGCACTCAGAGTGAATAAAAAAAAAAACAAAAAACAAAAAACAAAAAAACAAAAAACAAGGGAGACTACACATTAAAAGTCCTGGCACTCAGAGTGAATAAAAAAAAAACAAAAAACAAAAAAAAACAAAAAACAAAAACAAACAAACAAACAAACAAAAACACAAAGCGAGCCAGG